GACTGGCCCGGGAATCCAAGCATCAAATAAAATGATGTTTCTATAAGAAAATGCATGCCGGATTCTAACTTTTGGGGCCCATATTTCATTCTTAGATTGGGGACTGTTTATACTTGGAGGCAACGCTTCTGAATAGTTGTCTACATCAATTTGAAACCTTGGATTCTTGTATTGTCCATTTTGTGAAAGCTCCACACACACTATGTTTGAGTCTAATTATTCACACACGCACAAACATACTCACATGCACACAGAGATCTAAGTACTGTAACATGCACGACAGTTCTTCTAAATATTACATTAGAATATAGATAGTATATATGAAATATAGATATTACTTGTCATCCACAATATTGATAATTTTCTTTTTATTTTTAAACAATTTTTAATGTTGGGGGGCGCCTGGGTGGCTCAGTTGGTTAAGCGTCCGACTTTGGCTCATCAGGTCATGATCTCACAGTTCGTGGGTTCGAGGCCCACGTCGGGCTCGTGCTGACAGCCAGCTCAGAGCCTGGAGCCTGTTTCAGATTCTGTGTCTCCCTCTCTCTCTGACCTTCCCCTGCCCATGCTGTCTTTCTCTTTCTCAGAAATAAATACAACAATTTTTTGACTGTGTGTGTGTGGGCCTGGTACCTGTCACCCCCATGTTATTAAAGGATCAACTGTAATGGAATGTACAAGGTGAATGCCCTCAATGTTTTCAACTCTTAAATAGGGCCAGTAATGGGACCTACCACACAGTGCTGTGGTGAAGAGTAACTTAAAAAACATGCATGTCAACAGATTGCACTACAGAGACAGGCACGAGGGAAGTGCTTTGGTTATTTCATAGGAGCATGGGAAAGGGTACCATGAAGTGTGACTGAAAGAGGTGGACCAAGTCTGAAACAAGCAACATGAATTTTAAAAGAGGAGTAGGTGTTCATTAAATAGAGACATCAGGGTATGAATATTCCAGGCAAAGCTAGCTGTGTGCAAAGGTACAGAAGTACTAAGGACATGGTAAGTTCCAGAAGAACAGGGTTGGCTGGGTGGAAGGATACAGTACATAGGGGAGAAAGGATATATTGTGGCAAACCAGGAGGGGAGTAGGCAAGGCTCTGCAGTAACATTTTGACTGGGTTCTTGAAGGATGAGTAGGAGTTTGCCACGCAAAGGAGAGAGAAGAACTATCTGGTGGTGGGAAGAGCATATACAAAGACATGAGGTTGTAAATGTGTATGAAATATTTGGGAGACTGTATGCTGGAGCTCTGCATTTAAGGAGTGTGTCTCCCATGGAGAGGTTTCAGGGGCATCTGAGCTTGTTTGGCTGACTGGTGGGGTAAGCTCCTTGCATTCAATCCGCAGGAGGGTTCAGTGGGGAACGTAAGCAGTATATGTAAACCATAAGGAAGAAGGATTAGGAGGACACTCTCATGTCTGTTGCAGAGGCTTTACTCAGCATAGGCTCTGACTACAGGCAACTGAACCCTGACAAAAGGGCTGAAACTGGAGCTTGAAGGACTTGTTTGCATGCAAACTCCAGGAGACTCTGAAGCACAAGAAGACCCTGACTTGATCTACATAATACACACTCAAGGACTATGTGTTAAAGTGGTTCAGTGCAAGGTGACAAAGTGTAACATCACAGGTGGGGAAGGAGGAGGACATTCTCTCGGCTTGCACACAGGATACAGTGCCACTGGGGTTCTATGTGGTTCCCCCACTGGAGGTGGACTAATGTTGGGATTTCGAGCCCACCATTCCAGGAGATGCTGAGGCGTAAGGGTAGGGGGCAAGCTAACAGAGATGAGGGGAACTAGGTACCGCTAATGCACAGTAAGCGGTTGGCAACCAGAGGCCAAAATTCAGTCCGGGTTGTAGGTCAAGAATTGTGGGTTTCGAGGACGCAGCATGAGGAAATGACTTCTCATGCACTTCACACACAGGATAACACTCTTTCCCCATAACCTTCAATCTTTTTCTTTCTATAGGATCTCTCCCTTTAGTACTCAGACATAGTTTGAACCACATAGAATTCAAACCCGATACTCCGGCTCCCTCTGGCACTCTTCCCTTTCCCTGAGCACCCATGTCCAAATTTCACTGAGTTCTAGCCACTTGATCTCCTAGACATGGCCCATGTTTTGTTTTGTTTTATTTAAAACAAAAACTTTCCTTTGACCCCATATCCTTCTCCTGCTACTTCCTTCACCTTAGCTCTGCACTCTCTGTAATGAAGCTTCTCCAAACGATGGCTCTAACTTTGGTCTCCAGTTCCTCATCCCCACTCTCACTGCTGGCCCCTGCTCTTACCCATTCTCCAACAGCTCACCAACAATGACTTATGTGATGCTAATACCAGCGCACACTTTCCTGTCCTTATATTATCTGACATTTCACGTCTCTTGGCCTCTGTGATGGCACAAATCTAACTGGTATTAGGGGTCTGAGGGAACTTAGTTTGGATCAACGTATATGATGAAACTCTTACCCTGCTTCCTATAAAAATCTGCCACTGAGCAGCACACCGAAATTGAGGCCCTCCTGAAACCTAAGTCAAGGGCCTTCTTTCCCCCAATCTCTTAAGTGTGCTGGCCTAAAGTGAAAGCCAGAAATCAATGGCCATTTTTGGTGTCATGCTCTTCTTGAATATCCATGGTCATAAATGAACGTTTGCAAATCATTTGATATGTGCTGGCTAAATTAAGCCTCATGGCACGACTGCAGGCAAAAGGCAATAGTATCATGAATATCCTCATTTTAATCATATTTTTAAATGTTTATTTTTGAGAGGGAGAGAGCAAGCGTGAGCAAAGGAAGGGCATAGAGAGAGGGAGACACAGAACCCAAAGCAGGCTCCAGGCTCTGAGCTGTCAGCACAGAGCCCGATGCAGAGCTTGAACTCGCAAACCATGAGATCATAACCTGAGCTGAAGTTGCAGGCTTAACCAACTGAGCCACCCAGGTGCCCCATTATCCCAATTTTTTTTAGATAGGGAGACTGACACAGCTGTTAACCACAGAGCTGGGATCAAAAACACGGGCAGTCCGATCACAAAGTCCCCACTCTTAACAATGGTATTACAGCGTGAGAGGGGGTGTCCAGCCAAGTGGGAGATGGCCGGGCCCACCCATCACCTTCTATGCAGTCCAAGGTCAGCATCACCTAGAAAGGCAATCACTCACACAGCATTCCTGCAGATGATGTTTGAAAATTTACCTTTTTATTAATTTAAAAATCCAGAAATACAGTGACTACATAAATAAGTACCCTATTTAGGTACATGTCCCATGAGAAGAGTAAAGGGCTAATACTGTTACGTTATTCTTACTTGTGTACACGAGTTAACTATGAAATGCCTACAACTGCTAAGTGGTGTTTATGGTCTTTGTTGTTCCAAGTGTTTATGATACAAATAAATATACAAGAACCACATCCATTCCTCTAACTACAGGTGTCTCAGCCTCTACTCCCCACGTCCCATTGCCTATACAACACTGAATGCTGGATTTCCACATTGGCCCAGCACAGCTCCCCAGCTCGTGCTTCACATGGCACTTTGTAAAGGTATGTCCCAGCACCCAGGGGCAGAAGTCTATCTAGGGAAGCTCTCTGGGTGTTCCCTCTCGGTTGAGCTTTCAGAGAACACCTGGGTGGGAAGGCTTTGGGATGAGTCATCCAGAAGGGGAAATCACCACTTTGCTTAGGATCCAGTTACTTGTTTCCACACTATGGAAATACTGCCACCTCTGGGAGGGAGGCAGCAGTTGCTGAACACCCTTGTCCCCCTCCTCCGCAATAATGCTCTGTGGCCTTTCAGCCCTGGATGTCCTACCTCCCTCTCCCTTGGAGAATTTGAAGGAAGGTTTGGTAAAAGCCTTATCCACCATGAAGGCCTGGCCATGAGGTGCCCCTGTGTCTCTTTTAGGAGAACAGACTCCTTTACACCAGGTTGCCATAAAGACAAGACCTTTTACATTTTTCCTTATTGGTGTCAAATGTTGTAAGGAAGCTAGTGTTCATCTCCGCCATGGTCATGAAGTGGGAAATACAGGATTTCTGGGCCCCTAATATTTCTGACTACTCATCAGAGTTCATTCATGCCTCTCAGAAGGGATAAATCTAGGAGGCAGGCTTGAGATCCTTGTGGAGAATTGAGAGTTTTGTCACAAAGATGATTTCTAAAGCCAGACCTCAGAACGGAGAACTTCTACTTCTGGGATTGAGCTGCAAATATACATTTTTCAGAGCAGCCTTGGTTAGGATTCACGATTCAGATCCAGGTTTGGTGGATGACAGAAGAGTGGTAGCAAGGTTTAGAACAAAGATCCTTATCAGAATTTCTATTTCCCCCAATGAAGAAGTACTTCTCCTAACTGAAGAGGCAACATTCAGAAGATGTGGCAGGACTGAACCCCTCTGCAAAGTCAAAATCAGCTCCTGTAACTGGAGAAGGAAAACTGCCCTCTTAAGGCGCTTCTAGAATTTCATCACTTAACTTAAATTTTTAGACTATTGAACTACAACATCAAGGAAATTAGCAAGTGTCGAGCTATTCGTGACTTCTACTGACTCGAAAACACATAAGGTTGCCTTGTTACCTTTGACCAACCAGTTTCTTCAACAATTATTTTGTTTTGCATGGATTAAGTTTCTGAAGATTTTACCCAGTTCTAACTTTTTTACGGGGGTCCCCATGGGAGAAAAGAGAAGCAGTCTCATTAGGGAAACGTTAATTACTTCTTCAAAGGGAATGCGACCATGAAATAGTGTTTTTATTCTTCACCCTTCCACCAGAGTTGGTGACTTTAGCAACCACACCACTGACCAAAGGGCAGAGCCTTCTGCTCACAATTCCTTCTTTATCTTCTTGGGTACCCACAACTTCAAAGCTACCTGGGAGCCAGGCAACGGAAAGGAGGGGGGAGTCTATGCTGGCGGTGCCTCAGAATGAAGACTGCAGTTTAGTGTTTGTGTCTGTGTATGTGTGTCTGTGTGTGCGTGTGCATGTGTATCTGTGTGTGTGTGTGTGTGTGTGTGAGGATGGGGAGTTAATTTTTTTCTTAAAAACACAAGACGTTCTAAAATTCAAAGAGTATGATTTCATACAAATATTTTCTCTGTACTACAGAACTCCCACTAAGCATTTCTCTCCTCTTTCTTTCACTGGAATAACTTTCTAGATAGAAACTCTAGGGTTTTGTTTACTCTTTAACCTGTAAAGAAATGTGATTCTCCCAGAAACTTAGAGCAGGATGGTGGTGTTCTATCCCTCTTTACTCCACAAATAATTCAAGACTCTCCCAGTCTCTTTGGAGGAGATGTTTAAGGACTGACACACCACTACACATAAAGGAGCAAGTTATGCTGTGCATGGCGTGAATAATGAACTGCATTTGAGTTTGGGGTTTTAGGGCACTGTTGACTTAAGCAAAATAAGCCTGCAGTCCAGCTGCAGCTTGATTTTTCTTGCTCTATCCTTTCCAATATCGCCTGTCTCATCTAACAGTGGCCCTTTTCAGATCTTTCCAGGTACAAAACCTTGACTAAATCTTCAAGCTCTGTTCTGCACACACGACTTGAACACATCTGGCTGATCTGAGCTTCTCCTTCAGTGAAGATCTTCCACTGGCCTAGAAAGCAAACACAGAGGGGCCCAGAGAGGTAAGAGGAGAGCAGAGCCAATTAGAAGTGTGACCAACCCAACCTGGTCCTTACCCACTCACTCGCCAGGGGAGCCAGAAGCCAAATGTCAGGTGGTTTCAGCAAAACAGGACCCAAAACACTTTTGTGGGGACAGATTTGGAAAGTTGGCCACAGAGTGTTCATTTCAACACACAGCATTTGTAAGAATCCCAAAAATAATATGTAATTGCCTCCAGAGTCAAACCTAAGTATTATTATTTTTGGAACATTTACAGTATATTTAGCATTTGCAAAACGCTCCACTATTGGGCTGTTAGCTCTTTAGGTGGCTCCGTTGGCATCGGGTCAAATAAGGCACTTTGGAAAACAGTACCTGTGCATTCCTAAGGTCCTGCTTACTTTTCAGGGGGAAAGATACTCATATAGGTGACTTGATCACTTACTGCTCTTTTTTTTTCTATTCCTGCCCCTTGTTAAAACTGCCCACCTCGGTTTCCTCCTGTGCTTGCATGCTATCTTTACAGCCCCCTCTTAGGATCCCTCAATCTCTTGCTGTGGCTATCCCTCCCATTCTCTGTTTTCTCCTCTCCCTCCATGGACCTGTCCACACTTCCAGCATGTCCTTACCAGCTTGTCTCTTCTCCATTCTGTCATGCTAATTCAACAAACATTTTTGAGTGCACTCCCCATGCTGAGCACTGGAAACCACTCTAGATCATCTCTTTTTTCAACCCTCCCTTTTCTGGCTGTCCCGGTCCTTCAGTGGCAAGATCTTCCTTCTCTTCAGTGTCATCTTGCCATGGTAAAGAGTCTTCATGACAAACTTCCCACCATCGATATCCTCTTTGGTCTTTTTCTTCCTGCTCTCATGGTGTCACGGCCTAGGGATTCCTAGTCCAAGGTCAGCGAGCTCCTCTTAATCCAGAACCAATTTTTGAACCTCTTTTCTTTCCCTAGCCACAGGTAAACATGACCCTCTTCATTATGGACTCCATTTCTCTGCTCCTTTGTCTCTTAGGTTCTTCACTTTTCTCCTTTTCTCTTGAAGGTTCTCTTCAACTCAGTGGGAGAGGGGAGAAGGGTTGGGCAAGGAACCACCTTGTACCGAAGCCCTGTTGTGTGCCAGGATCTGAGAGTCACATGACAGAAAGGGTCAGGCTTGTTCTTCTTTGTCCTCAGGCAACCCTGCAGGATCATCTCATTACCCACTTCCATCAGCTGCACACAGTTGGGGGCACACACCATCTACTTCCGTTATACACCCCCAATCCTGTTAAGCGTAGCATAGTGCCTTTCTCACAATACAAACAAAAACATGTTCTTTGAAATTCATTGGTAATTTTAAAAATCACATCATTTGTACCAGATCCTAGACTCTGCCCCCTTCATTCCCAACCCCTCCATTTGAATTCTCCTACTGTTCAAGTTTATGGTCTATCAGTCTCCCACAGAATACACAAGGAACCTCATCAACCATATTTCCAGCTGTCCACCATGGAATTCTGCTCAAATGGCCTTTATGTCTCTGAATCTAAACATGTTCCAAATGAAACATATTTTTTCCCCACCAATACCTGCCTGTTCTCCAGAACTTCCTTTTGGCAAATTATCACTATTCACCCAGTCTGTAAAATTGTTACTCCTGGAGTCATTCCAAACTCATTTCTCCCTTTGTAGCCCTCTTGATGATTTAACCTCAGAGGTTTCCCTCACAGTGACCTCTCCTCCCTTGTCCAACTGACTTAATACAGTATTTTAATTCAGACTGCCATCAGCTACTTACCGCTGAGAGTCCACTTTCCGCTCCACACAGCAGGCATCTCTTTCTAAAAAAACAGATCTGCATGCACCATGCACTTGCTTAAAATCTTCCCCTGGGGTGCTCTGGCCTGGAAATCAAGTCTAACTTCTCAGCATGGCATAATGGCCTCTTTGGAATATGACCTCATCAAAGTAGGTACATAATAAATCCATCTGCTAGCCAAGAAACATCTTTGCAGAGCACCATTTTTGTTATCACTAGGCCATTTGTAAATGTGCAGCAACTACCAATGCGATTGGCCTTCCATGTAAATTCAGGGGCTTCTTTGAGGGCTGCCCACCCCCACCTTTCTTGTTTGTTCCTGGCTGAGTCTCCTCTTAGGTGGCACCCTCTCCCTGAACTGATTTCCTGATCTGTTGCATAGTCACGCCCTTCTCTTTCAAAACATACCTCCTCCCTGAAGCCCACCTGGCTCTCATCTCATTGTGTCTTGCAGATTCCCCTGAGTACTCAAGTATTTAACTCTTCAGAACTAGACTGATTCCCAGTGAAGGCATTTTCAGGTTCTGTCTTGCCCATTAAAATATCCTGTGGATAGAAATTCTGGGCCTTTTATTCTGTCAGAAGTGCTTGCCACTTCCTAGTGCCTGCATTAGAAAGAGGGAGAGCTGCAGGTATGCTTGAGTCCCTGCGTGCTTTTAAAGAAACATGACCTTTCGGAAGCATGACACTTCCAAAGAGTTAAACAGACCTGTGGTAGGACACGGGAATTGAGACGCTTTCATCTTCCATCTCTCATCCTCACTGCTGCGGGACATATCCTTCCAGACGTCAGGTCTCCACAAGTGTACCAGCCCTGGAATCCTGTGAGCTTTCTCTGACCTTCTTGACACGCTGGGGTTAGCAGTTTTCATTAAAGATGTTCAGGAAACCTTGACTCGTGGTAGCTGATGCTCAGACTACATCTGAATTTGTATTCGCCTGGCCCAAGTTTTTCAGTTTGCATTCAAACTCCCCACCCCTCCTCGGCTGCTGAGTCACCCAGAGAAGAGACAGAACACCCTCTAAGGTTGACATCGAGCATTGCTAATGTTCACTGAGAACACAAGGGGACCTTGTTTGGGGCTATGCTACGTTGAAGACTGGAGGCGTTTTCCAGGGAGGAGCATAGAAAGACAGGTACCACTTACTCAGCGTTGTCCTGGTTACCAGTTTGAAGTGATGGAGTTCCTCAAACATCCTCTTGGAGATCTTCTCAATATGGAAGTGCTGGAGGATGCCTGGGGCCAAGTAAAAAGTGGGGCAGGTGATCAGGCCCTCTCTATCTGGAACCACCATCCCCTTTTTCTGCTTGGGCTGAGCATATCATCTCATTACAGGGGCTTAGGAGTATCGAGCTGGGCTGTGTAATGTGCTTAACCAGGAACTTGGATGGCTCAAGGGTTATAATTTATTCCATCTGTTTCTTTGGCTCACTGTCCTCCCCTTGGTTCTCCAGAGGATAGAGATATGGAAGATAGTGTTGCTGACCATGGGACCCCCTCCTAGGGAAAGCCACATGGAATCAGACGTGGGTGCTAGTGGGAGCTTCTATAGCCAAAGGCAGTATTATAAATTCTGCCCTTGCCCCACGTCCAGGTAGATTATGTCCTTGCCAAACCACTGGGCCGCCCTTCTGGCCAAGCAGTGAGAGCCAGGAGTGGGATTGAAGACAGGTTGTTTGTGTAAATGGAGAAGCCATCCCTGTTCTTGAACTCACTGAAAAGCATTTTTTCCTTTGGGAAATCTTCGCAGCTCCTTTAACTTTTCCTTACAGAAAATGGGGAAAGTTAAAATAAAGGGTGTGTGTGGGGGGCCCCACAGTCTCAACTTTGCTTGAATAGCTTTAATCAGAATAACACATAAACTGAAAACAGCCTTGCAGTTAAGGAGCAACATGTTACCAGCCTACTTAATCCTCAAGAGGTCTAGAGGAAGCAACATAATTCAAGCCTGGGTTTTCCTCTGCTCACCAAGCACAGACCGTGGCTGCCCACCCCTGAACTAGAGGTTCTTCAGATGCTAGCTACCGTAGCAAGTGTGGGAAAATATCCACGTGCCTTTAGGGGGTGACAGATGTGGGGCAACCAAAATTGGACCCACTGTTAGAGAAGCCAACAGGACAGGGCTTAGTCCTAGGTGACCAATTACAGAGGAGCTATGGAGTTAGAGACGGAACATTGACATTCCTATGTATAGAGCAAAAATAAACAGGGACAAGAAACCTATGTGTGTTCTAGCGTATTTTTTAAGGGGTGGGGAGGAACTCATTCTTTCAGGCAAGAGAAGTTGTGAAAAGGGAGAGGAAGAAGCCCTACAAATATTCAAGCCATTGTTTCTCAAAGTACGGCCCAAGTGCTGCCTGAATTAGAATCACCTGGCCGTTTGTTATGTGTTGAGGTGCTATCTAAGGCCTACTAAATTCACGTCTTTTGGACAGGGCCAGGGAGCTGTGTTGGAAACTGGCTCCTTGTATGATGCTGATGCATAGTTAACTTTGGGCACTCTTGAGCCTTACTTACACCGGAGCCAGGAGAAAAAGGATGTGCTTTATTTCCCAACTGAAATCTCACCTGTTCATTTGGATTCCTAGAAAATGTGGCCAGACTGGATCAACACTAGCCTTGTTTTCTGTGGGATGGTCTGAAGGGCTGTAGGATCACAACGGTACAGCTGGCTATGACAATCGGGGTGAGTGATCAGAAAAGGAACTGAATGGGGCACCTGGGTGGCTCAGTTGTTTAAGCGTCCAACTTCACCTCAGGTCATGATCTCACTGTTTGTGAGTTCCAGCCCTGCGTTGGGCTCTGTGCTGACAGCTGAGAGCCTGGAGCCTGCTTCAGATTCTGTGTCTCTCTCTCTCTCTCTTTGCCCCTCTCCCACTCATACTCTGTCTCTCAAAAATAAATAAAACGTTAATTTTTTTTAAAGAAAAGGAATTGGATGGACAGAATAACAGGGATTGTTCTTCCAGGTGAGACTCTTCTTGAGGGCAGGGATGAGGTTTTCAGTGTGTGTCTCTCCAGAGAACAAAGCATGATTTGAGACACGTAGCCTCACACTGAATGGATGGATTTTCCTGTTTGTTGAGGTTCATATTGGAAAAGAATGGTAGGCTACAGTTTGGTAGATTGCAATCTGAGCTATGCATTAGAATCACCCTGGAGCCTTAAAAACAAACACTTATGCCGAAGTCCCATCCTTGGCTGATCAATCAGCATCTCTGGAGGGAGGCCCAGGCATTTGGTACTTACAAAACCCTCTCCCAGGTGATTCTGATGTGCAGCCAGGGTTGAAAAGCACTCCTCCAGCCTTTGTTGGTATAAGAAAAACAACAAACCCTAAGGGCCAACACTTACTTTTTGGACCAGGTCATGGTTAAATGTAAAAGGTCATAATCACCACCGTGTTAGTCATGTGGTAGTTGCTGAGCAATCAGGAAAACTGACCCAAATGGAGGAATCAGTTGAAGTAAAATTAAGGCAAGTCTTTCCCTCCTTCCCTGTTTCCCCACCCCTTACAAAAAAAATAACAAGGAATTAATATTGTCTTGCTCACCCTTTCGAATGGTCCAAACGTGCACCTCCACCTGAGGTGGTCTCTCTGTCTCCAGGGCAATTTTTCTGGTGGTCTCCCCATCCTCCATGAACACAGACTCATACACGGGCATGGTTTCTTCTCCACAAAAGTAGCCCTTGCTGTCAAAGCTTTGGCCCGGAAGTTCTTCTGGAATTAGGAAACAGGTATCTCATTGTTCATAGTGCCTCGCACTCATCAAAAGCGGACAATCAATGAGAACATTCTTACAGAGCTAGAAATTCCACCCATATTTTTTAGGCTCAGTTTAAGCTGCCTTGTAACAGCCACCAAATCACAAAGGACCACATGACCTTTGATTTAAGTCAACATGATGACAGAATCCATAGTCCTGCAGACCACTGGCCCACAAACCAAACTGGATCTACCCACCACAACATGAGAGGTGGACCTTCGTGGGGAGGAAGAATGTGGTCAGGTACAAATCTCTTAGGCACTTCAGGGTACATAGGATTTTCCATGCTGGGTCCAGATCATGGTCTGTTTAGCTCAGTGTTACCAACAGAGACCCAGGGAATGGGCTGACAGAGGGTCTTGCTTAACTTCCCTGAAATCACTTTGGTATACTTAGAGAACATTTCATGACCCTCATTTATGTGTATATACTTGCCCAAAGGATCTATCCAAATTGGCTTGACATTTCTGAATGCTCTTTGATTTGTTTGTAAGGGGAACGATAATACTGGATCAGTATCCATGCCAAAACCTAGATGTCAGATTAGTCATATGCATGCTATGTCAAATGAACGGTTGGAAGACACAAAAAATTGGTCAAATCCCTCAACTGTGGATCATTTAAAGTATAAACTAAACTGTTGGATTTCAGCTTCCAGGCATAAAGATACCAGTCCCTTCAAACTTCCCATTCCACTCCACCCTCCTCTTTCCTTGGACCCCTACCAAAAAAAAAAAAAAAAGTTTCTCCAAGTTGGTGATCTGTGAGTTAAGTTTCTCTGCTGGCTTTGTGATCAGTACCCTCTTCAGCTGTGGCTTTAAAGTGTACACTCGCATCAGGAACAACAAAGAGAAGCCATGGACACTCTGAAAACTTTAAATATGTGCAAATCGCTTCTTAGCCTTTTGGCTAAGATCAAGTGTAAACGTGTGCAGAAGTCATCTATAAGACTATCTGATGAAACCACTGGGTGCTGGGTGCTTTGGATCTGTGACTGTAACTGGGGAGACTCATTGTTAGCAATTGGATGCATTTGGACCGCAAGTTGTAATCAAATTGCTATTGCCCATCTTTTGCTGACCTGATTAGCTTTCCTACCCTCCACCACCATCTCAGCAGTGTAAGGACAAAACCAAAGTTGTCGCTCAATGATTCCAGGTGGGAGTACTCAATTTGTAGATTATCCTAGGATCAAGCTTCCTTTCTCTTTTTGCCCTTTTTAGTTATTTAATTGCTTGCTGGGCCAGTCGTTTTTGGTGATATGTTAGGTAATTAAGGGATGTGTTCCAGCACTTTCCAAGTCAGAGAAGTGGGTGTCTGAGGTTGCAGGGACCTCTATGTATTTATCACCTTGAGAATGACAGCTGAGTTAACTTTTTTTTCCCCCACCAGCTTAATACTGGCTACAGCTATAAAATGAAATCCATCATGAAATCCATGATGGCTCTGTAAATACCTGTCGTGTGCTAAAGGTTCTCCTGGTGTCCTGAAGAGTCCTTTTGCACCTCCCCACCACCCCCAATGAGAGCTTAACTGACTCAGCAGAAGGGCTCTACCAGCAACAAACCCCATCAGTGACTCAACCCTGGCTGGCACTTGAAAATATTAAGAGTAAACAAAGTGTATCTTTCAAGCTACCCAGTGGGCAACAACCTCCTCATTCCACACCCTCCACATCAGGATGCTTTCTTATCACTCCGTGCTCACCTAGTTGCATTGCCTTCCAAGGAAGCCTGCTATGCTCACAGTCATTTCTGGCCATACCCACCTCCCTTGAGAATGCTTGTATCCTGAGCTCTCTAGAACTAAGAAATTGACAAAGCATTTCCTTATGGAGGTGGTAATGGCTGATAAGGATGTATTAGCCCAGATAAGATTTTAAGTCTTAACAGAGGTGTTTTATGCCATATGCCAAAAGGACTGCATAATTATGGGAATTCCAGATACCAGGGTGGTGTGGTGGGGATGGGAGGAGAGTTGGGGAACCTTCAGGAAGTGAAAGTCCTACACAACCTTGTAGGTAGCCACTGATGCGCAAGGCCAGGCCTTGGCAGACAAAGCAAAGGTAAGACAGGGAAGTAAAACTCACATCTTCATTTTGGCCCTAGTTTTTGACTGGAGGAGACTGTAATCATATGTTATAAGGAAACTTTAGGCTAGGTCATCAGTGAATTTGACTGATCTCTTCTCCCTTCTCAACACAAATAACTAAATTTACTCTTCTTTTCTCCATCGATCTTCTTCCCTCTTCACTCTTTGTCCCCTTTTCTATCATGTGTCATCTTCTTTTTTTAAAAAAATAATTAGTTTATTTTAAGAGACAGAGAGAAATCATGAGTGAAGGAAGGGCAGAGAAAGAGGGAGAGAGAGAGGAGAGAGAGAGAAAGAGAGAGAGAGAGAGAGAATCCCAAGCAGGCTCTGCATGGTCAGTGAAGAGCCTGATGCAGGGCTCGAACTCACAAACTGTGAGATCATGACCTGAGCCAAAACCAAGAGTCAGGTGCTTAACTGACTGAGCCACCCAGGTGCCCCTGTCACGTGTTATCTTCTACGAGGCTGGTGATATCATAGTCCTCCCCTTTCTTGCTTCTTCACATCATTCAGGACTCGACTCAAATATCACTTCTTCAGAGAAGCCTTCCCTGGCCACTCTTTTGAAAGTGTCCTTTCCCATCCCCTCGCCATTCACAATCACCTGATCCTGCTTGGTTTTTCTTCATAGTACCCATCACAACCTAAAAACACCTTCCTGTTTGTGTTCATTGTCTTTCTTCTCCTGCTACAATGTAGGGCCATGCTGGCAAGGAGCCTTTGCCTGGCTTGTTCATCTCTCTGTCTCAGTGCCTGTAATAGTGTCTTGCAGACAGTAGGCACATACTGCGTATTTCCGTATTGAATGTGTGAATGAATGCATGTTCCCTGATGCTGTGAAGTTTCTGAGTAGCTGGAGCAGGTGCTCTGGCCTCTGTGGATAGTGACTCTCCTTGGGCAATGTGACTATCAGGTGTCACTCAGTTTGCAGACACCCATGTCTGTCTCACTGAGAAGCAGGCGCACAGAATGGGGCAGAGGCTCTCTCCTTCCATGTTTCTCCCTAAGTTCTGAATCTATCTCCACACTCCTGAGCAGAGTGGGAAAGCAGCTCTTTTACAGAAACAGGTTTTGTCGATCAGGCTTGACATATTGCTAGTTGGGATTCTAGATGGCAGTTCTTTAAGTAATAACTTGTTATTCTAATTACAAAAGTAATGCACATTACTGAAAATTTGAAAAATACGGATAAACAAAAAGGAAATGAGAACTACCTATAGTTCGATCACCCAAAGATAGCCACTGTTAATAGTCTGCTGTATGCCCTTTCAGGCTTTTTCTTGATCAAGGCATATTACAAATGCTTTCTTTTTAAAACATAAGTGGGACCATAATATAAATAATTATTTTGTACCAAATCTTTGTACTTTATCAAATATGTCACAAACATCTTTCCATGCCATTAAGTCTTGGTCTACGATGTTTTTTAAATTATTTTTTGAGAGAGAGAGAGAGAATGTGAGAGTGGGGAGATACAGGGAAAGAGAGAGAATCTTAAGCATGCTCCACACTTAGCATGGAGCCCAATTCGGGGCTCAGTCCCATCATGGATCATGGATCATGACCTGAGCCGATGTCAAAATCAGATGCTCAGGCACCTGGGTGGCTCAATTGGTTAAACCTCTGAATTCGGCTCAGGTCATGATCTCACAGTTCGTGGGTTCAAGCCCCATATCGGGCTCTCTGTTGTCAGTGCAGAGCCTGCTTCGGATCCTCTCTCCCCACTTCTGTCTCTACATCTCCCCCATGTTTGCTTGTGCTCTCTCTCTCATTCTCTCAAAAATAAACATTAAGAAAATTAAAAGTCAGATGCTCAACCAATTGAGCCACCAGGTGCCTCAGTCTATAATGATTTTTAATGGACATCTAATAAGCCATGGTACAGCTATTCCATAATTTATTTAACCATTCCCATACTGGTAGACTTTCAGATTGTTTCTGATTAAAAAAATTTTTTTAATGTTTATTTATCTTTGAGAGACACAGAGCATAAGCAGAGGAGGGGCAGAGGAAAAGGGAGACATAGAATCTGAAGCAGGCTCCAGGCTCTGAACGATCAACGCAGAGCCTGATGCGGGACTCAGACTCATGAACCATGAGATCATGGCCTGAACTGAAGTGAGATGCTTAACTGACTGAGCCACCCAGGTGCCCCGTTTCTGATTTTTTACTACTGTAAACAACGTTGCAGAAAAAAATCCTGATTTGTATATCTGTATATCTCTCTTATTACTTTCTTAGGATTCCTAGAGTGGAATTACTTAGCCAAAGAGTATGAATGTAAAGGTTTTAATAAACATTGCCAACCAGAGAAGCCAATTATTAATTAAAAGCCAATGCCTGTTCTGCATTCACTTCTTACCTGAATCATCTGTATCACTAAAGTCCTAAGCATTACAATGAAATGAGATTTGGTCTGGAGATCTGAGATTGAATTAGGAATATTATAGAGTGGGGAGGATTTATCTTTCCTGGGGTAGTTTAGATCATGATCAGTTTTGTCGTAAATCATCCTGTTATATTACTATTATGACTGTAGGTGTTCTACCCTTGACCAAAAAATAAATAAAATAAAATTATGTTGGTAGAATTACTCCAAAGTGACACTAAAAGGTTTGAGGATCCAGTGAGATCACAGATTCAGAAGTCACAATAGATTATTGTGACTTGGGTGGTCGTCCTGTTTGGATCATCCTCAGAATGTGCTCTTCTGCCTATCCTTAATAAGTGCATTTTCTCATCAATTTTATTATTTTTTTAAGATTTTATTTTATTTTGTTTATTTTACTATTCTTAAAACTTTTTTAAATTTTTGGGGCACCATACGGAGAAGAAGGGAACTTTGTACATTTCACTTGCCTGC